TCGTATAATGGAGAAAAGACCTAAAGGATCCTGATTCAAATGATATGTTAATAAATATTTTATGTCAAAATCGTCTTTCATATCGATGAATAGTTCCTTCAAAGACTTTATACTAATTATTATACCTCGTTGAAAAGGTAACAAGGTATTAGAACCAATTTCTAAGATTTCGCATGGTTTTCTCCATTTCGTCCAAAATTTCATTTTGTTGAATTTAAGCTAAACCATACGCTTTGCAACGATCTCGTGAATCACTTTGAGGTACTTTTGAATTAAATACATCAAACCAGTCGTTGGTGAATTTAAATAACTTCGAACATTCAAGCCAGTTGTTTTCACTCTTAAAAATCTCCAATAACCCTAGCCTAAAAATTGATTTCGATACTGTGTGCGAAAACAATTTGGTAGCTAATTTAACTTTTTGTCGTTGAGCGCCCTTAACTGTTAAGAAATCAGCATTAATTTTATGTGCAATATTCGAATCAAATTTTGTGTATTGTGGAGTAAATCTACAACTAGCTTGGATGTTATAAACTTTTTATTTAAGATAAATCCATGGCCAAGAAAATGGTTCCTCAAAAGTATATGTGAAGCATCTGCAAACACATGCACTCTTTTTTTACTTATTGGATTTGTAAACCATGTTGTTTCTTCCGTTATATTTAAAGACTTCCATAGTCCCCTATTGCTGCTTGCTAAATCAGAGTTAATAGCATAAACAGGATAGCCGATATTTTCTAATTCTGAAATAATTTCAAATAAAAGATTGTGTGTAATGTGTTTATCATAATTGTAGAATATCGGCTGTTTCCAGTTTCCACATATTCCACGAGCCATGATCACTTGCACATATTTGCTAGCTCCTAAGGTTGGTTGTGTCATTCTTTTTATCATAGTCATAAGAACTTTGAATTTTCATTTCATCAAAAAGTAATACACATACTCTTTCTTTCCATCGCTGAGAGAGAATTGTTTTTTATTAGTGTCAGCACTGTGTTAAGTATTTCAGAAAATTAAAATATTACTTATTACTCATATAGAATTAACTACTGATCAGTATTTATGAAGAATCCTAGAATTATAAATACATGGTTGAATGTGTTGTGCTCGCCCATCTTGTTAAAGTGGAAACTGCAGAAAGAGGGTAGCTTCTTTTTCTCAATAGGATAGGACTTAACGATAGGACCTTGGACCTCCTGCATGCAGTGAAATAGCCGAAGCAATATCTTCAACTTTCCACTTTTTTTGCTTGGCCAACTTTAATTTACGAAGTTGCCCTTCTGTAAATATTTTTTCAATTTTATTCTTTTCTTCCCTTTCTTTGTTAAGTAATTGTTTTAAAAGTTTATTCTCAGTTTCTAGAATTCCAATGTATTCAGCTGGATCATTTTGACTAAAATGAAAGATTGTTTAAATACATTTAATATTTTATTATTCCATTTACTACCTTAACGTTTGAGTGGAAACAGTTGTTTATTTTAGGAATGTTCTCTTTGTCTCCTTCATTGCCATGTCGCATTGTATATGTACTTTCGATTGTGTTTCTACATCGAGTGATGGACCCATGAACTTCAGGAATTCCCCATTCTGCCTTTTTTCTACTCGTAAACATCATTTTTGTTCAGGAGAAGTCTGCGCTCTTGGTAATTTTATTAAATAACGGGAAGGTATTGCATCACGTTTTAATTTCCACTTATTCTGAGGCAAACCCAACATTTTTTCTTTCATACAGAAATCGCTTTCCACAAAGTGGTTCGAACATATTCTTGCAGTATTTACATTAAACTTATGTTGCTGATAGCACTTCACAACCCATTGTTCGCGAACTTGTTTCTCTTTTTGAAATGTTTTTCGAAAGAAGCGACAATCCGAAATAACTTTGCTTTTTTTTATTGTTGTTGCTGGAACAACCCACCACTGCACAGAATACCATAATGAAAAGTTTAATTTAATATTCTTAAATATATTTTATCTAAAAGTACACAACATTTATTTGTTAACGTACTAGATAAACAATCTAAACTTAGCAAAACTCCGTACAAAACAGAACATTTCTGGTGATATTTGTCGCCAAGTGACGTCACACGTGCAAAAAAATTTGTTTTGTTTGTACACATTCAAAATTAATTCTATATATTTGTCACCCAACTTGTGGTAGGAAATCTTAATATGAGTAAATCAAAGTTTTAGTGCGTTTTAATGAAAAATTCAGCGTTATAACACAGTGACCATTTTGTTCGCGCCATTTTTGAGTCGCAAAGGGTTCACCAGGAAAGGAGTGCTGCGACGGTAGTTCGAACTGCCTTTTTTCTAGTGGAATTTTATTAACTGTTTCGATATTTAATTAATGGACAGATCGCCCGCTAAAAAGAACAAAGTATTTCGGAAGTAAATTCGGACAGTTTGTGGTGTATTTTATTAAACAATAAAGTAGCTTCGGTCTGATTACTGGACTACATACTTTTAGTACCTTCGGTATTAAGTACTGGCTTACACGTGTTTTAGTCTTCTGTTTTGTTGAAAACCCGAAAGTGATTTAGTGTCAACTTGTTCCAAGGTTATATATAATACAGTGTCTGCATAAAGTAAGGTCCTGGAGGTATTTTAATCAAGGATTTAAGGTTAAGCCAGCGATTTGGCAAGTACTTTCCAATTTTACTGCATGCAAAACCATTCGTATAATTTGCTTTCCACGCAAAATAGAGATCTTGACGAACATTTGATGTCAAAGTACAAAGGACTCAGATGTAAATAAGTGCCGTAGAAATTTATTAAGATTGCGCATTAGTGTCGGACGAAAACGTGTTTTGAGGAATCGCAATGCTTTTTGATGATTGTACTGCTAAATGGTATCAAGGCAATTCTGAAAGAATATCTTGATGCGCCAACTGCTGACAATTATGCAGCTTTTGCACTTTCCAGAAATTCGCCATTTTTAATGCCCATTAATAAATGCAAAGATTGTCAAATAGATAAAGCGTTTAACCGGAAAGCACGTGGATCATTACCTAAAGGATCAAAAGGTGAACGTTTTTATTTATATAGTCGACGACATATTATTTGCCTTAATTCAAGCATCAGCACAAGAATGTGGCTATGAAAATTATTGACGAGGTATTATTACGATTTGCCTACTATTTGCAGGAAGAGATACCAATGGTTAGATAATACATAAATGGAGTGAGTTCACAGGGCAAACCGCTGTCTACTTAACTTTTGGTCGTGAGCTGCGAACTATAGACCAAGTTAATCGAGGAAAGGAGGAAACGAGGAAAATCGAGGTTAGGAAAAAGTAATATGCTGATTGACGTTTGAAGGAACCCAGTCTACTCAAAGAAAGTGTTTTACTATCGGCCAAAACATCCGTTCCTAGTCCCAGTCGAAAGGTCAGACGACAGCTAAATTCTAGCCGAAGAGGGGTGGGCCCTATAGAATCAAGCCTGTGTCAAGTGATATCGCCTGTGATTTACGAGATTTGTGGAGTGGACATCCCTACTGCCGTTGTGTCCAAGCTCCAACGCCTGTAGTGCCGTTCAACCAGCATCTTCTGCTGGCGACCCCTCTAGCGAGTTTAAGGCCAGGAGGGGAGTCAACAAACCGTACCCTCTATGACTGTGACCCCTATGGTATGTAGGATGATCTAATATCGTCAAACCGCTATCTCGCCGGAAGTGAGCTGTGTATGTGTTTATGTTTACGTTATTTCGGAGACAGATGATACACAGACGAAGGATTATTATACACAGTATCAATTAGTTAGCTTTAATATTTTGTCGTGAACCCATCAATAAATTAACATCTTTTATCCAATGTGTATGATTTTCTTGTAAAAACCCTAAAATCCCTGAGAATAACTAAGCTCATGCATTAAAAGGCATTTTAAAGGCATAAAATATGAGAAAAGTTCCCTAATTCAACTAATTTGAATTAGGTTCTGTCGATCCCTAATTCAACAGAGTTCTTCAATAGGTGAAACCTACTTATCAGGTTTCAAGACTCTAGGACTTACCCCTCAAGAAAAAGGAAAGGGATAGCAATATACGAAGAAAATATATGTGCGTGCAAATTCAATAATGTTCTTCCTTACATTCTGATAAACTTATGTTTCAAGACTATATAAAAATGTTTCCTTCCAGAAAAATAAGGTATAATAATATGAAAAGAAGTTGTATACTGAATTTTGGACTCGGTAAGACCTTTATTTCAAGAAAAATAAAATGCATGAAATTATTTAAAGAAGAAGATATGGAACCAAATTCTATAGGTTCTTCCTTACAAAAAGACGAACTTTTGTCCTAAACTTTAATACTAGAATTTTTCTTTCAAGAAAAACAGAATTTATAAGAATATGAAAAGAAAATGAAGAAGACTTATTGACCAAAAATTAAATAGGATTCTTCTCTACATCAATAGGAACTTAATTACTATAAGGTTTAAGACTCTAGGACTCCTTTCGAGAAAAGGATAATAATACGGAAAAGAAGATCTGTTGGTTCCAAATTCGATAAGATTTTTTATTTTACAAAAGGAAACCTATGTACTTTTTAAGGTTCTAATTTTTTTTTTGCAAGAAAAAGAAAAGGCATAAAAATATGAAAAGGAGAAGAAAAATACATGTAGAGCCCAAATTCAAGAGGGTTCTTTACATCAAGATGTACTAAATACCAAGACTACTTTTGAGAAAAGAAAATGATAAGAATATGAAATAGAGAAGAGGACTTGGAACACACATTCAGTAAGGTTCTTCCTTACACCAAGGAAGGAGAGATGTACCAAGGTTCAAGACTATAGAAATGTTCCTTCAAGAAAAAGAAGGGGTTTAAGAACAGCTTATTAATATTATATTTATGTTATATTAAAATAATCCAATTGATTATTATATTATTTAACACTGGCGCCACCTCTAGGCAGATCTATAAAATTCAAATTTTTGGGGGACACAGAAGCACGGACAACACGTGGACATTTTATAATTTCTAACGGTATTTACTTTATTTAAGAGCGACTTAAATGTTAAAACCAAAGAAGAAAAAGTAGAAGAGGATGAAGCAGCAGTGAAAGAATTGCGTCGTTTAAAATTTTATGGAGCTGGACCAAAAATGGCGGGGTATGAAGATGGCCAAGAAGTGAAACCAAGAAGTAAGAGCCACGTAGTTGATGAACCAGACCCCGTAAGTATCCAAGTATTTGTTGTATTGGTTGTTTAAAATGATGTTGCTGTGGTGTTGTTTAAGCTGTTTTCGTGTATTTAATTAAATGTAGTTTTGTGAATGTAATTATTTGATTAATTCCGGTTGCATTATTTTTTTTTCATCAAATTTTTAATTTCGCTATTGCTAATACATTTCATTTCATTCATAATCTGAATTTCGTTTTACGCAATTTTTTCAACCAAAAGAGGTTCTAAAATTGTTTGCTTGTGGCATATTCAAGTTAATATTGTATTTATATGGGATTAAACCATACTTGATTATAATAAAAATTACATTTTACGGCCGTTTTTTACGTTTCGATTTCCACTCCGGAAATCGTGTTCCAATCGAGTTGTTATAGCCTATAGTTGTATACCAATTCGCGCTTTGTGTGTGGCCAAAATTTGACGGCTGACTTATTTGGCCTCGATGTTGTGCGCAAATAGCCCAAATTAGTTAAAAATTCTGAAAGTGATGTTTCTACCCTCAGAATGGTATTAAATTCTGATTTTTGGTGAGTTTATGTATTATGTGTTTGTGTATTATGGATAATTATACATGATGTGTCTCTGACTTTCTGTTAATCCATTAATGTTGGTATGTTCTTGTTGTTGACTTCTTTTTTTAATATTGGTAACCAGATCTTGCTACATTCTGTTGATTGCTGCATATTCTTCTTCATTAAGTAAGATGAGAGGTTTCTTTGATTTTTCTCTTTTTGTTGTCTGTTTCTTTAATGACTATTGATGTCTGTGCTCATTGTCCCAGACATGTTTGCATATCTGTGATTTGTCGAAGTCTATGTTTTTGATGTATGCTTTATGCTCGTTTATCCTAACAGTGCGGTTTCTCCCACATAAAAATTGTTGCATTCACAAGGTATTTTATTCATGCAATTCTTTGATCTCTCCCGCGTGTTGTTTGCTTTGGTTTTGGACAGAATAGATTTTAGTGTATTGGTTGTTTTGAATGTAGTTGAATGTAGTTGGGATATTGTGTTTATTTCCTATCCTTTTTAATTTTTCTGAGAAACCCTTTACATATGGTATTCGTGTTACATATGGTTGTCGTGTTCAAATCCATTCTTGTGATGATTTCTGGATTGCTTATGGTCTTATTTACTCTTCCACCTTCTAAAATGACTTGTTTATAAATAAAAACGGATAATCATTTTTTATTCAAACTATTGTTAGCAGAGTTTTTGTTTTCTTCAGTAAGAACAAAACCTGCTAACAAAGGTTTTAACAAAAAAATTATTATCCATTGTCATTTATAAACAAGGAATTTCAGAAGATGGAAGAAAGAAAACAACATAAGACCATAAGCAATCCAGAAATGCTCACAAGAAGAGATTTAAAGACAACAATACCATATATAAAGGTTTTATGAGGAAAATTAAAAGCATAGGAAATAAATACAACAACATTCGAAATAGCAAACACACCAAGATCTATTTTGTCCAAAACCAAATCTACAACCCACAGGAGAGATCAAAGCATAGCATATATAAAATACTTTGTGAATGCAACAATTTTTAGGTGAGAGAAACCTCAAGACCACTAAGTGTCAGGAAAAACGAGCATGAAGCATATATAAAAAATCGACAAATCCCAGATTTTCAAACATGCCTGAAACAATGAGCACCGAGTACAATGTAACGATACATCAATAGTCTTAAAAGAAAGAGACAGCAAAAAGAGGGAAATCAAAGAAGCGCCATCATTTTACGTAATGAAGAAGAATGTGGCAAACCCATCCACAGAATGTAGCAGGCTCTGGTTACCAATATTAAAGGAAGAAATTAGAGACCCATCATCTACAAATTGTATATAAGACGGGAAAAGAAAAAAATCTGAAAAAATACAGGTTTTTGAAGGTTATAAAAGCTATTGCTGTTTTTGCTTTGTTCTTTTAAACAATTATAAAAAGTGAAAAAATCATTATTATAACTATAGGTTATAACAACTCCTTAATTTAAAATAATCTTTTTTTGAAAACTGATTTTCGGTGTGGTTCAAAAATAAATATAGTATTTTTTATTACAATCAATTATGATTGAATCTTATATAAATGCAATATTACTTTTACAAATTTGTTGTTTGCAAACTGTATAGAAAAAAAAAAGTTGAAAAAGAGAATAGGTATATGGAACGTGATAAGTATATACGAAGCGGGAAAGGCAGCAAAGCTGATCAACGAATTGACTATGCTTAAAATATATAATATATACTAGGTTGTAGCGAGGTAAGATGGCCAAACAACGGCAAATGCATAATGAACAACCATACAATATAATACCTCTGGCGATGAAATAACTAAGAATAAAAATGGCTGTGCAATAATTGGATCCAAAAGAAATTACCAAATTAGTTATAGAAGTTTGTAAAATATCGGATGGAAAGTAATAGGATATTACCACAAATTAATAACAAACCCCATCAAACATCAATAAAAAACAGATCGTCAATGTTTTAGTGTACCAATATCAATTCACATTACCGATATGTCCCGTCTAAGTGTCTCCTATAAGGTTTTATTTGGTCTTTCTCTCCCCCTCTTTATCTTCTCTCATTTTAACATCAATTGCCTTCTCCATGGTGGAGGTTGATAATCATCATCATGACTATTTTGATCTTAGATGCGGCTGCTCTGAATAGTTTGATTGATGTGCATCCGTGCTATTTCCCTCATTACGCAGCCATTAGATTCTTCTCCTTCCTGTACCTCTCCTGCCCTGGATATTCCCTTATAAAATCAATTGAAGTACTCGTATGTTTCACCACACATAATATTCGTGTTTTGATGGTTTCCATTATTTACCTTCTTTTGTTAACTCTTCTCATGACTTAGTTGTTTGTTACATACTCGATCCATTACATCTTCAGGACTCCTTTATATCCATAGTTTGAATGGTTCTAGCTTCTTATTAGTTCTTGCTTCAGGTAGCTACAGGTAAAAATAGGGTAATTAAATATATTATTTATTTAGAGTGTTCATCTTTTAGTAGATGAACAAAGGTTAAAATGGCAGTTTTTGATCGTTTGTAGCTTCGGAAATTACAAAATAAGGCTAAAATTTCGAAAATAAAAAATTTGTTATAACTTTTGCAAAAATGAACTTAGGACTTTAATATTGCACGAAAAGTTATATATAGTAAGAATAACAATAATATAGCGATTCTGGAAGAAGACTTATATTTTCGATATATTAAAAGAAATCGATAAAAGTCATTTTTACCATTGCAAAAACATTTTACTAAAGTAAAGTCATTTTTGGCTTATAAATAATTTGAATAACTTTGTTCATATTGACTTGTACTTGACTAACCTAGATATTAAAAACAGCATGTGTTTGAAAAATCAATTTTCATTTTCCACCCATAAAGCTTTATGACCGCTCTGTTGAAGTTCAAAGTTTATTCAAACTTTTACACATAATCTATAAACTTGAATTGAACTTCAAAATCGGGCTAGTTTGGTTGCTTAATTGTTATAAGCAAAGTAGCTGTGAATTAAATAAAAAAAAGTGGCTAAGTTTGACCCTGATTGATCGACGCAATTGTGTTTTTTTTATTGACCCTCTTGTCAATATTAACAAAGTTATTCAAATTATTTATAAGCCACAATTTATTCTACCTTAGTAAAATGTTTTTGCAATGGTAAAAAGACTTATTGATTTTTTTTGACATATTGAAAATATAAGTCTTCTTTCATGTGGTACACGCAGAATCGCTGTATCATTATTATTTTCTGAGCAATAACATTGCAAAAAACGCTCTGTGGGATAAAAAATTGAATAAAATTTAGACTAAATAACGAATCTTCTTGAAAATTTTTGTGCGTTATAGGGACTACTAGACTCAACTTTTCATGCAATATCAAAGCCATAAATCCATTTTTTTGCAAAATATGTGGCAAATGTTTCATTCTTGATATTTTAGCCTTATTTTTGCAATTTACGAAGCAACAAATATTTTAAACCTTGCCCATTTACTAAAAGATGAGTATTCTAAATAATATATTAAATTACTTTATTTTTCCTGTAGCAATTTAAACGAAAAAACTGCCATTTTTGACACTTATTTGTTAATACCTATTATGTGCCTCAGAACTGTGACGGGCAGTTTTGTATTTAAAATGTATTAGATATACAGTACCCAAAATACCCCTTTGCAATCTGGCTGGTTCAGTATCCAGAATATGGTGTTTTTTGCCTTATTTCCTTGGTGTACTCGGTTACCTACGCCTCTACGAAATCGAAATTGGGTTCCTTCAATGTCATTATATCAAGTTTTTGGTAAATGCGTTTGTGAATGATCTCGAAGAACATTTTAAGTCTGTGAGACATCAGATTTATGGTGCAGTGGTCGCTGCATATTTCATTTAATAGCGTTACTAGGGCATAAATGTACCCATGTTCAATTATCTTAGGGATGTCGATCAGTAGTTGATCGCATTTTTTTCGTTCTAATATCTTCACTTGTTTCTTTTTCTTCTAAAGATATGTCTTGTAGGTTTCCTGTTTCGTCCAAAAAGATTTTCAATATATTCTTTCCATCGTTTTTGTTTTTTGTTAGTTGTTATCAGGGGTTCTTATTTTTATCTAAAAGAGTTGTATTGTAGTTTATTTTTTGCAATCCTTACCATGATTTTGTATCTGTGACTGTCTTTGTTATTGGCTTGTCTCCGTTTGTCCATCATCAGTATCTCGTCGGTATTCTTGTATCAGTATTGTCTTTCTTTTTTATTGGCTCTTTTAACATATCTTTGCATGGAACGTGGAGACAGATTTTTAGTGTTTCTCATTGTTTGTTGATCTCATATGTGTTAGTGTCTAATTAATCAAGGTTTTCAGATATTTTCTGTTGTAGTTTCTCTTTTACACCTCATTCCTTCAGTTTTGGAACCTCTAGTTTGGGGTTCTTTGAAGTTTTCTAATAATTTATGGTCGGATGTGATATCTGCTCCTGGGTATGTTTT